CATTGTCCCTGCATAACTAGAGCAGATGTGGTTAAAATGAAATACTTATTGTCGGGTCTGAATTTAGAACTTCCCCATTCACATATTTCTGTTAACTCTTTAGTTGAAACAGGAACAGGGATGAAGGCTACATTGCACACCTGAGGACAAATTGGACCTATGCCCATGGATTTCCTTATTACCAGCCCTAAATAATTATATAAATGCTTTACAAGTGACGTAACAATACAATAATACATTGGGATAAAGTCATTAAAGTATTTGTGATGTCAGCCATCTATCCCTACTCTCAATAAGATACATTGGGTGAAGTGGGGCACAGGTCAGTCGCCCACTGTCTCTTTATTCCTGTCAGGGAATCCAGCAGGCTGATCTCCTCAACCATCACCACAACTCCAAAAATACTGCTCCGCTTTCTTTTCAGATGTGCTTTTCCAGTTATGTATTCTTCATATAACCCTACAAAGCATTAATTAGAGCAACAGTTACTTGTGTCAACCACAAGGCCCACATGCCGAATCTGACCAGCCAGGCTATTTCTTGTGGCCCTCGCACCTATCCTGCAGTTTTAAATTTTTTAAGATCCCCGCAGCCTTCCTGTGAATTGGCGCTTGTTTAGAGCGCCGGCAGCAAAATTCCTCCTTTTTATTCACGCCGCCTGCACCCACTTAGACTGACCGGGACACCTGGTAAGACCGCGCAGCGTCCTGAAACCCTGCACAGCCATCTGAGAGTCCACACAGCCCACCACATAACCTGCACAGCCCACTATAAACACAGCACAACCACCTGAGAGTCCGCACAGCCCTCCATAGAACCTGCAAAGCCCACCATAGAAACTGCACAGCCACCTGAGAGTCCGCACAGCCCACCATAAAACCTGCACAGCCCACCACAGACCCTGCACAGCCTACCTGAGAGACTGCAAAGCCCACCATAGTCCCCGCACGGCCCACCATAGACTCCCCACGGCCCACCATACTGTATAACCTTTACATTTATATAGTCTTACAGATACAACCGGCTCTTTGAGGGCAACCATAATGCTAATGTGGCCTACAATGAAATTGAGTTTGACACCCCTGTTTTAGAGAATTGTCCATAGAAATACACAAAGTACTCTGGATGGTGAAAATGGTAGCTCAGCTGAAATGCCAAGGCTTTCACAACCGTGTCAGAAGTAGATACTCGTTACGCTATGTTGAGGTGCCCCCCATTTTGAATGCCAACCTAACGTATATTTGTCAAAAGTTCAGCTTTAACCAGAGTATTTGTGAAAGCCCATAGTCAGACAGAATCAAAAAATCCAAGCGCAGTCCACAACTCCAAGGCAATCACAATCTATCAGGTGCTCAAAATGGGTGTATTTTTGCTGGATTGCAATTGCTGGTACTTTGTTATTTTGATACATATCATATATATTTACATTTTCCATCCATTATTCTTACTTCAACATGTATGCCCTACACATGCCTCCTTAGCTAATCAATCAAATGAAGGGTGGTATTGCCATTAGTTATAGCTGTGTCTTTCTGGTTAGAAGTTCAGTTTCCTTTCTGTGTGTTTTTATGTAACAGACTGCTACTTTTAACATTCACTAGAAGGCCAAAGTACACATATGTTTTATACATCAGGCATGCAATATCTCTATCAACAGCAGGAAGCTGCAGCATCTGAAAAGTGCCATCACTCCCCATAATACAAAGCGATGGGGGGAGTCACTGAAGTACATACATTACAGATCTTTTTGCAAATGAAGGTGCTTGAATACATTTGTATATTTAGCGGCTTGACTGCAATTGCCATATAAACACTTGCAAAATGAACACAGGACAACAGTGTAAAAAAAAATCTAATTGCAATTCGAACCTGTGGAGGATGCAAACCCTGTAACTAGCAATGGAAGTAAACTACACAAGAAGGAGGTTACTCCCAGACTATCCCTGCACACCAGATTTGTGGTAACATTTTGGCACAGGGATTTCTGTGGAGATGCATTCAGCAAAAAGCAGCGCGTGGGATCAAGTTTGTTGTTTCTAAGTTTCACCTAAGTAATGTCCAGTAGCTGATTTAGTAATGTTATACGTTATACTGCTAAAATGTAATTTTTCATGCAAATGTTCACTTTAATCCTATAAGGCTCAGTAGGGTTGTCCAAAAATAATTAAAGCCATTCAATGTGCCATGTGAAAACCTATGATTCCATTACCTGTATCTCAATTTACAAACAGGACTTTTACAAAAGAAAGAAGGCTGTTACATTTTAAAACCATAATTATCAACTGCAATACCCCAAATGTTATTACTGAATACCCTGCCAGAAAATGCATATATCACCTCAAGAATAAATTCATGATCTGTCTGATTTATTCTGCTGTCACAAAGCCATATTAATTGGATAGGAATAATATTAACTACAGAAAAACGAGTCCATTACAAATTCCCTGTTGTACAAGCATCATTTCTATCCTTGAAACGTTTTGCTTCTACGGACCATTAAGTAGAAATCCGGCGTTTGTCTTGCAGCCAAAAAATATTAAATTTTTAAACCAAAATACTGCCTGTTAGACGCAAGCACAACATCCATCAGATGATAGATGGGGCAGGCGACAAACGCTCACAAACGTATATCTTAGGCAAATCCTAAGTGCATGTCCAGGCTGAAAAGAAAAGCGCCAATTGCTTTTAGCTGTCTTCCATTTATCCATCTTTAAACTCTCCACTACTCAAAAATAATATACTTTAGGAACCTGCATTCTGTTATGCAGGATTCCTGGTAACAGGCTGTGTTGTCTACCTTCCAGTATAATATTTATATTAGAAATGTGGAAAGTTAAAAGGATATTAAAAGTTAAAAGGTTTCAAAGGCTGATTAAAATCGATTATAATGATGCTACTCCTTGATGTTTAAAAGTTGTAGTTTTCTGCAGAATCAGCTGGTCTCCTGAGCACTGGCCATGATATCCTGTCTTGGGGTGGCTCCTTTCTCTTGCAGGGTCCCTTTGGAGCCACCCTTCTGTGTGCTAGTAAGCTGTGTGTGTCACCACATATAAAAACAGACATAGCAAGGAAAGACACTCTGCGGCTAGGTTCACACCTAAGCGATTTATTGCACGGATTTAGCCGCCCGATATCACAAAAAACAGAACATTTGCATTCAAGTCTATGGAAGCTGTTCACACCTTTGCGATGTCGCGCGGTAGAAATTGCCTGTCGCACAAAAAGGTACAGGAGCATTTTGGGTCTCATAAACATCTCTATGCATTGAAAACCGTATTGGTTTTCAAAGCAAAATCGTGCGAACAGAAACGTGCGACAAGCGCACGAAAACAGCTCACCAGCTCAGTCACTTAGATGTGAACCTAGCCTCCTCCTTCCTCCAAGCTCGTAGAGCTAGTAGATGGATGGCTGCTGGAAACTGCTCTGCCCCTGCTCTGTCCCTTGTGATCCTGTACTGGACAGGAAGTTCAGGAAAGTTGAGCAGAGATAGTTGGAGCCGTTTGGAAACATGATGACTGTAAGCGTTTGGGCAAAAATTTTATTAAAAAAACTTCACTGGGCAATGTATATTTATTTGATCTGGATTAAATTATTTAAAAAAAAAAAAGTCAACAAAAAACCAGGAGGGGACATTTATCAATTTTGTTGAACAGCAAGGTAATGTTAACAGTAGCAGAAAGACAGAATATGAAACATATTCACTATAAGGCTGCAGCATCATTCAGAAATTTCTCTCTACTGCTCTAACATAGAACTGTGACAATATAAAATCTGCCCGTGTCCCAACATTACACCCACAACTCCGCACTTTATGCATCCGATTCAATGATCTGATATGACCTCTATTTTTAGGAACTGTGCCGTACTATGTCAGGAATATTATGTTCCTATAGAGATGATAGTTTGATTCACTCCTTGTAAATGCAGCACTTGGACGCAAACCACTTTCCTCAATAAAAATGAAAATACCTGTCTCGTCTACAGTGCTAAATCGTTTGTAAACCTATGCAAAACTGTCTGCCCAGAATCACAGGAGCCCCAAATACACACAAAAAAACTTGTCTAATGTGCAACAGATGTGCATCTAATTTTGTCACAACTTTCCTTGATGTGTTTGGACATGCATCAATTCACTAATTAAAAGGTACTAAAACGTTGAGACACTCAGAGATACTGTGACCGTAACAGCAGATTACCTGAGAGTAACTACTATATCTGCGTCTCTTTATTATATGCAAAGTATTGTTTACTGTACTTTGTATGATATACACTGTCAAAACTCAATAAAAACTTTGAGACATGAAAAGGTGCTAAAACGTAGTTCAGTAGCGTAAACCCATATACTGTACAAGCATTTTCAACTTCACTTTAAAAAACTAAAAAAAAACAAACAAACACCTTCTAAAATCAGGTCACATGATCCAACCTTCCTGTTTCCCATTTCAAAAGATGCAGCCTATGAGGAGGGATCACTGAAGAGGCTATACACACACAACAGGTATTGCAGTCAGACTGTATGGGCAGAGGCAGAAAGGAGTGGATGTAACTGAAGGCTTCCATTTCCAGTATACACCTTGAGAAGTGCTGACATCATAAGTGGCACAACGTTACAGTTATAGTAGCTGCTGTTACTACTATGGATACTGAGATTAAAATTGCTGTCTGCAAGGCACATTTAATTAGGGCCCACTCACATCAGCGGTGAGCTTTGCCCAGCACAGTCCTAATGCATAGGTCAATTACCTTGTTTACGCAATCTGGTGGTAAGCGCTGAGAAAAGTACTACATGCAGTATTTATTTTACACCGCAGCACGTTACGATGCACTACACCACATCAGAATACGCTGGGGTGAATAGAACTGAATGAAATGTCAAATTGTGACATTTCAATAAACCTTGGAAAAAAGTAAACAGTGAAATTCACACGGCACTGCACGCTGCTGGTGTAAATGAAGCTTAGGTAAGGATTAATACAGTAATATTATGCCTTTATCTTTAGTTAGATTTACCATATTGCATTCATGTCCTCATTTTACTGGAATACACAATAGCTCTGTTGTGGTTTAGTACTACACGGACTCTAACCCAGGTGCTGACAGGCATGGTGGAAATATGTTATATTTCCAGCTAATAAGCTGATGCATGCCCTAATGATCTTGGATGCAGCTTTTCTCTAACAAATTTTCTAAATCTGGTAGCTGACACCCAGAGTAGCAGGGTGCAGGTACATTTGGAAAGCTATACAAGAATTGTATTTAAAAGTAAGCAAGGTTCCAATATTTTTTAAAAAGGGATCACCGAGGGCCTGTTCACACATAATTGTCTTTCCCGTTCACACTACAACGTGGGCGTGATGGGCAGGGCACTGCGATTAAATGCAAGTAGGCTACATTATATCACAGAGCAATGGATCCCACTGCAGGATGCCATATGGCAGCGCAGCAGACTGCACGGGGACCTTAATGGAGTGTACACATTGTACATTACAAATTAAGTTACAAAAATGTAAAAAGTGACAGCTCAAGCAAATATGCTATACAATGCACATTACCGGAGCTGTCACAGACCCTTAGGCCACACTGCAAAAATGGTAACTTTCAGCACCAAGATATCTGCACTATGAGATCTCTGCAAAGTACCGTTATCTTTTGTTGACAGATCTTGCACCCGCTAAGATATATATGGCATTTTATTTATTAGGTTACGTATAGGGGGTTTAGTGTTCAGGTAGCATTTTATGTAAAAGCGGGGTTTATTTTTAAAAGAACATCTCCAGCCTCCTTTGGCAGCCATTCAGCCCAGAAGGGGAACAGTGGCAGTGGGCAGCACAAAAAAATATGTTTGGAATAGGGAATGGATTAAGACAAAAATACACCAAATTTTGCTTTGAGTCTAGTTAACAGAGCTAGGATGCAAATGTACAACCATGGACAAATGTATTGGTACCCTTCCATGAACATTCTTTGAATTCTAATTCATGAATTACTTAAAACTGACAAAAGTATTGTTGTCATCCATCATTGTTTATTCCATAGTTAATAAAAATCAGACTTTGCTTTTGATTGAACAGAATATTTAAAAAAATAAAAAACAATCTGTACTTATCAATGAGACTTCTGCACCTACCAACATGTAGTTTGGCCCACTCTTCTTGAGCAAACAACTCTAGCTGTCTCAGGTTTGGAGAGCGCCTTCTCCAGGCTGCATGTTTCAGCTCTTTCTATAGAGGTTTGATATGATTCCGATCAGGGCTCATAGAAGGCCACTTCAGGATAGTCCTATGTTTTGTTCTTGGTTGCTTTTTGCTGTGTGTTTCAGGCCATCATCCTACTGGAGAACCCATGACCTGTGATTGAGACATAGCTTTCTGACACTGTACAGTACGTTTCACTTCAGCATTCCTATATAATCTTGAGACTTCATTGAGACCCACACAGATTCAGACGTAAAGCGAAATGTCTCCAGCACACGGGACAATGTGGTCAAGTGTTCATCCTTTATTGACGCATGTTGTTACATTGAAGCAACTTTTCGGGGCTGCACAGGGTACAAGACATTGACACAGATTCAGGGCACCCTGTGTCAGACACAGCAAAGCAGCCCCAAAACACCACCAAGCCTCCTCCATGTTTCACAGTAGGTATGGTGTAGGTTTCTTCAAAAGCTTATTTTTTTCATCTGTGAATATAGAGCTGATGTGGCTTGCCAAAAAACTTGCTCTGTCTCTGCTGTCTAAAGAGGACATTCTCTGTGAGGCACTGTGGCTTGTCGTGCAAATTCCAGTCTGGACTTTTAAGGTTTTTTTTTTCAACAGTGGAGTCCTCCTGTTCAATCTGGGTTTGGTTTTCCTCTTGCAGCCATGTCCAGGAAGGTTGGCTACACTCACATGGACCATAAACATGATAATATTAGCAGCTGTAGTCACAGAACATCAAGCTAATCTGGATGAACATTATTATTATTATTATTAAACAGGATTTATATAGAGCCAACAGTTTGCACAGCGTTTACAATATTTTTTTTTCGGATTAATTGCATATTTTCCAGTAAAGAAGACGCTCTCCTCCTCTTTGTAAAAATGCATAAAGCTGAATAGGGCCAAAAAACACCAATTAATGCACATAAAACACTTAAAAAAGCCTAAATATGCCGACGCTGAGGTGTGAACAGAGCATAACCTTGTAAAAAAAGTGTCTCACTGCTTTGCCATGCAACAGAATAGATGATGTCCCCCTAGGACTGTGGGTATAAAATAATTCCACAAGCCAAGCACAAGGAATAGTAGCGCACAAGCCATTTTTAGGCATTATACGCTGTATAATTGAAATGATACACTATTTTAATAGGGCCTATTAAAGAAAAAGATAAGTTAAAGCACATTAACGTTTTGTTCAAAACCAATAAGAACCATGAAATAGGTTACTGTTTTTCACATTTTCTGCTAAATCCAAAGCACAGGAAAATCGTTTTGGATGAAATAGACCCATAACGCTGGTTTATAAACACATCTTCACTTGTGGTTACTGCAGAATAAGCCTTCTTTTTCTTTTGTCCCAAATGAGTTTTTCGGCGCTCTGTGTAAAGCAGCGATGGATGCCAGATGATTACAGGAAAGAAGTGGAAGACAGGAAAAGAGATGCAGAAAACTAAAATACTTTCAGAGCCAGTGATCAGCCTGACATTGAAAGGAATGCTCAAGAGAAGTTTGTTTCTAAAAGTGGCCTTCCAAACAAAAACAACATTTTTTTTTAGAAGCTGGTTGATGTGGCAAGAACAAAGGAAAAACTGCCTAAAAGATATTCCAATATCAAAAAGGATGCATAAAGAGATATTCCTATTGTCACATGCAAATCACTAGAAAATGTAACTGTTCAGCAAAACTTAGAGACCCTGTTGGCAGACCATGAAATGTATCAATCTTTCCATTGGATTACCTGTGCATTTAATGTATTTTAGATAGGTTATGCACCTGTAAAAGCCTCCCTTGTGTAGACGTCCAAAAGTTCTGAGACTGCTGCTAGGCGCTGGGGAATGGTAACTAAAAGGAAGATACAGATAGCACTTTAGAAATAATGGGATAGAGGACAGTGCATCTTGGAAGAGGCAGGGCTTGGCTTCCTCATGTCAGACAGTTGGCAGAACAATAGCAATATCACCAATTCTCACTCCAAATCTCCTGAAACTAGCAGAGGCAGCAGCAGTGCAGTTTGTTATGTGACGCAATAGTGCAAGAACCAAGTAAAGTTTTGAGTAGTAATAGCGTCGGGTAGTCAGTCATAGTAACTGAACGGTCATGGGAAATAATATTGTTACAATTGTGGATATGAAGGCTGATAGTGCTAGGATCAAGTAGAGCTACGAGGAGTGATAGCGCCAGGTTTTTGCAAATATGGCGTGAATATAAGCACATAACATAGTAAATTATTCAGAAACGTGTGGTGCTTCTTACGTCAACTCACACTATATACGAAGTGTAATGTGCAATAACCTCATTCTACAAGACATTTTGTGAATGGGCAAGTAATGAGGAGGGGCTTTTTAATGATAATTTCTACTCCCAGTAAGGTGTAATAATGTTTTCCCAGAGTGTGACTGGGTGAAGTATAGCACATTACCTGCTAGAACTACTGTACACCAGCAGATAAAAGGTTAACAGAAGGGATCATCTAAGGCTTATATTTAATATATGTGACATTTATTTCCTGCCTGCCTGCTAAATCTGCACTTCTTTGTACTACTATCAATGCCCTTTCCCCACTGTGCAGTTTTCACACTTCGGACAGTGGTCCAACCAAAGGTTACCACCCGCCGTTCACATTAATTATGCTTCGTGTCGCTATATGATGAGCAGACAGGGAGAAAAAAAGAAGAACATGACATAAAGCAGAGGTTATCTTTAAAAAGCATTCAATCCAATATATGGGACTTAAAAGGTACCAGCAATCTAAATGCACATTAGTACAAAAGATTACTTTAAAAATATACAGACTTGTATTCCTGTTTACATTAAGACTATATTAAACACATATTTCACAAGACTACAATGTCAACTTCAACTGTAAAACCCTCCTAATGTCTCATAATCCCCGGATCGGCTTCTATACACTATATCTACTTAATGATATCAAATATTCATCTAGTGCTCAGGTTTTCCAGTTGTTATCTGTGGGGAGATGTGACCGCTTCTCAAAGCAATTCCCAGATATTAAATCTACTTCTTCAGGAGAGAAAGAAGGTAGCAGGTTATTTTATTTTTGCACACAGTCCAGCCCAGCCCCATTCATTGGGGATGGGAACCATAGTTGATGTGTAAATCTCCAGAGACCAACAATAGCATCCTATGCAAGTTTATTATTTAATGATATATTACAAAGGGGGCTTACAAGGCAATACCATATACCAGGGGTGAATAAATTCATATGGAGTTCAGGAGCCAGCAGGATTTTTTTTGGGTGCCACCTCCATTGACAACTAGAGAAAGCCTGAAAAGTTAAGCGCCAGCTGGAATCTTTAATGAGAATTGGCTACCTGGCTCCTGGGATTTGTCCAGCCCTGCAATGTATTCATGGTGCAACACATTTATAAGATACTACTGATCTGGTTTCAGAAAATATATAATGTTTTAGGGGTTGTATGTAATCTAATCTTCATGCCAAAAATTTTCATTTTAATATGTGTGCAGAAATAAAATTTAAAACATGGCTATGGCAGCAAACGGGTACAAGTCCCATATTTTGGATCGTATGGTAGTAATAATGTATAGTTGGGCATGTGAGACATTGACCATCAATCAGTCCCATTATATTTTAATGTTAATTTTAAAAAGTGCCAGATAACAAGCCGGAATGTCATTTAGTGTGCAACCGCTTGCAAGCATGAAGGAGCTTTTAATTACATATTAAAAAAAAGGAATACAGTTGCCATTGGTATCCTCTTCCAGAAAATGCTATTCGCCTGACTGTCATCTTAAGGCTATCTTCACACTATGTCCAGACCGGATCTGAAGCAGAT